AATGGTATTATATTTATAGCTTCACAAACTTTCACCAATGTACCTTTTATGATTGGTTAGTAAAAAAAACTGGCTACAGACTTTTCTTCGACGGCATCAAGTAGAATTTATACGGTCCTTAAATTTTATGCCACAATTTCATTTGTTATTAGCGATATTGGCAGTGCACCAACTGGAATCTAGTAATATGTTAGAAACTTTAGCGATGCGATCGCAATAAAGGCTACTCAAGAAAGAACAAGTGAATTATTTTCAATGCACTGTGGTAATTTATGTGAATACTTTATTTACGAAATTGTTTTCTAAATTGTTTCTAAAATGTTTTCTATTTCTAATGCATTCGTGATTTTTAAAGCAGTTTAAAATAGTTTCAACCTCATAACAATTTACTCGTTTTTTATTCTTCAACAAACTTTCAACGAGGTAAGGTTGTTGTAATATATAATTAGGAGTTTCTAATAATAATAATTTACCTAATTAGCCTAAGCATGCTAACATGTAATATTACATACACACCCCTGGCGTGTAAAGGGATACTACTTATTGTTTCTTTTCTCCTTAATTTGGTTAATTCAATCTACGCGTACATTAATGCGGTGTATTTTTTTGGGAGAAGGTGGCAAAGGAGCGGGCGGTTCAGTGCTAAGCACGACATATTGACATTTGCAACATCCGTAGGGTTGCGTATGCGTTGCCACCTTTTAATAAAGTGGGCCGCGGCTACCTCACTCACCAGATGAAACGCAGAAGTATAACACTTCCAGTTCACGCCGGTCTTCTGTGATGTCTTGGCACTTACCCGGACGGACTTGCCCTTTCTTGCAGCAGCGAACACTGATGTTCACTTGAAAACCGTCAATATTGTGAATGTCCATAGGACGATTCTTCATTTTAACATCATTCTTATCATCTGTGAACCGCCTGGTCTTTTTTTAACTTTTAACATATTTCGCATATGCCCAAATCACCTAGCCCTCAACTTTCTTTACAATGTTAATTTTGAACCTATATCTGTGAAGCTATTAATCTCTTATTCAAATTCACATCTAGCATTCAGTAAGTTCAAATAAGCCTAAGCATACCTATTGCCGAAATGTGATCAATAAAACTGCCACTGGAAGACCAGGTCATATTTCCACGCAATGAAAGATTATCACATGTAATTGACTTTGATAATTACTCGTCGAACGAGCGGTGGCTAAAGCCGTTTTACACACATTTTCGACGCTATCCGCTTTGCATAGGCATCAATTACAAGAGATGACGTCACTATCTGTTTAGTGGAGTAAATCACCGAGTGTTGTATGTTCCGGATTTTGTTGATTGACCAATGCTCAATTATCAAGAAAACTCTACTCATAAAACTGTTTTCTAGGACGTCAAAAACATTTAAAATTATAATAAAATACTATGCCACCTTTCCTTCTGTGTTGTAAGTTCGAGCCGTAAACTATTTGGTACCGAACTAACTAAAACTAAAATTATTACTGTTTGACAATATTATTCCAGGGGCAAGACTGCTAAGAACTTTATTCAATTCGAAAGAGTTCGATGAAAACGAAAGCGATCCCGAGCGCAGAGAAGACCGCTGTGAACATTTATTCAATTGGAATCAATTCAGTGAAAATGGAGGCTATACTTGGAGGCAGGCTTCTAGTAAATTCGCCTGAGATACGACAGAGTCAATTTTTTTAATCCGTCGAAGCAGATGATATGTTGCTCGCGCGGATTTCATTGGGTGGAACCAAATGTGATACATGGTTAATTGAAATTTTGTATAATCCGCTCGGGATTCCATAATGTACAACATTAAATCCAAGCACGTCAACATAACAAAAAAAAAAAATTATTTCGAAGATATGTGAAGTCCGCCAATCCGTAGTCGGGCCGCGTGGTGGACTATGCCCTGTTACCCTGTATATAGAGGTAGTGGGGACATGTATAGGCTGTTACTTTACTTTTCTTCACTTTTACGTCAACGTTGCGACAGCTCAAGACTACATAGGCTCTTTTTGAGTAGATCGGAAGGAAATAACTTATAACATAATTGACGGTAACCCGGGCTAACTCTGTCATTAGGACGTGAAACAATCCGTTTTATCCCGTGACCATTAACGCTGGAAAGATTGGGGGACATCGGGAATTTAAAATCAAATTCAAACCTGATATATTCCTTAAAATAGTTTCATTTAACAATGTACAATAGTCGGGTAATTCAATAAGATAGTATTCAATTATTTCGGGGGAGGTCTATTTTGGTGAGCACGCTATTGGATTGTACCAAAGGCAAGCTCGAAGAGATCGCTCGGCGCGGTTAACACGAACTACAAACACTGGAAGTGTGCGTGTGTAGATAAAAACATAATAGGGCTTTGTTCTAGAACAATATTATCAATTTGGCCCCCAGCCGTTGTTACTGGTAAACTGTGGGCCGTTCATATTTTCTTATATTTAATACGTAGATATCGGCACCGGTTCATTCTAGGCGAAAGATTGCGATCTAACATTGACGCCTATGTGTATGGAAGCATATATGTAGCTAAGACTCATCTGCTTGAAATAGAATAGATTGGAGATGTAAGCAATAAGACGGAGAAAACAATTACGAAAGATGGTCTTGAAATTTACTTTAAAATATTTAATACTTTACTATTAGGTGTTAATAATTTTAGCAATTTTACAATTTCGATTGAAAAACAATATGAATCAAGATTACTTTTAATGATGTATACAGAGGCTTAATTAACTGGTTCGTTGGAAGTATCTTTTCAAGTTTTCTTTTCAAGTATTACATGTCATAACTTGCATGAGCCGCTAACCGTTTAAGTCCACGGCAGACAATTTAAGAAATATCGTTGTTACGTACTTTTTCGTCCGATTCAACGCTAGATAGGACTGCAAGCGAACGAGCTATCTGTTTTGCTATATCGGCTTATCAAGAAATTTCCATACGGCGACCGTTTCTGGTTACAGGCAGAATCCTTTCCTATTAAAGCACTACACTAATTAAACTTACTAATTAATTAATTAAACAAATAATTTACAGCCTTCATTTGTTTCTACAAAAGTCCATAACGTAAAAAAGATATGCTGTAATTTTTATTTCGAACAGCTGTTTAACACTTAAACACAATAATTTTTGACGTATGAGATTTTTCCGTCATACTATTCCCGGTGCTGGGCTACTATGCCTGACAAGTGATCGAGAATGGGGAACCTCAGTTTATTTGGAAAATGGAATGGTTTAAGTTTTTAAAAGAAAAAGTAAACCGTATATCTGATAATTATTGAATACTAATGCCTATAGATACCAGTGATGTTACGTTCCCGAAGTTAAAGAGTTTACGCCCTGGTTACTTGATACACCGAGTTATAACGTTCGTCTGTTTTTAAGGCGATGGTCAGTACGCTTACTGTCTGACTAAGTTAGTGCGTTTATTATTCACGGCTACTGCCATTTAGCGTCAGGTTGAGTAGCGGTCAAGCACTCGTCAGTTTATTACATAAAAGACGGAATGTAGAATTAAAAATACTTTACATTGATCTGACTTCCCGTGCAAATTCCGAGGACGGGAAGGGAAAGCTGCTGTGTGGCTCTAAGGGAAAACGGGGGTTAAAATGGGAGTTTTATACGAGGTCTTCACTGTTACACGAATGGGCAGGTCCGTCCGGAAAAAGCTAGGATAGAAGACCGGCGTAATTTTTTTTTGGGCTGAATGAGCCACTGTTGGCCTTAGGGGCCTTTACAGTTCCGACGGGCTTGAGGTGGCCTGGCGCACGAGGCGCCTAGCCTGAACCTAAACTGAACCTGGGGTGAACCTCAAAGCCTGAACCTTAAAACCGGCGTCAAATGGAAGTATTTTACTTCTGCGTTTCATCTGGTGAGTGAAGTAGCCGGGGCTCACTTTGTTAAAAGGTGGTGACGCATCGGCAACTCTACAATTTGTGCAAATGTCTGTGGACGGATGTTATCACTTAACATCAGGTGAACTGCCGACTCACTTGCCACTCTCTTGCATAAAAAAGGTCACAATTATTGTAAACTTTACTGCATGACAATCTAAAAGTCACCAAACGTCCATGCGATATTGTTATCGATTTCTAAAGAATAATTTCAAACAATAAATCCTTTAGTAAAGCATTCGACGGTTCGCAAAAATTGCTCTTTGAACTTAATCCGCACTAACAAGGAAAGGCTTTAAGAGCTGACGTAAAAAAAACTACACTAACTAAAGCACTCATATACGAAATGATCTTCGACTGCCTAACAAAACGACGGGTATTTTTTGCAGTCGCTGCAGACGCCAATTGCCCTCCGTGCGGCATTCGCCGAACTATTTTAAACCTTAATTGAAACGGCGGAAGGCCATCGAGGCTTTTAGCGAACGCAACACAAAGTTTGCAACGAAGAAATGGGCTAGGTGGCGTATGAAACGACTCGGATACGATTTTTTCCAATGCAATTCTATTGCGATTGCATTGGGTAATCGAATCCGCCGAGCGATTCGGTATCGATTGGTTTTCAACTGTTGAGACTTAATTTCGTCTGTCATTATTAAGGACGTCCGAGATTCGGGAAAAGAAAAAGGTTGAATAGGTTGGAGTGTGTGAAACCGTGCAAGGCTCGATGACGGGCAAGTGAATTTTAGGCTATTTGCATTTAGTCGTCTGACAAAATGGTCAGTTCGGGACATTACGCGTAGCATAGACGTTGTTAAAGGTGTTTAAAGGACGCAAAAATCAAAATGGTTAAATGATGAAAACCAAAATTATTCGTTAAGTCGTCTTATAAATGAAATAATATACATGAAATTATGTTATACCTGCTTACTATAAACATTATTATTCATCGCCGTTTTCGTTAGAAACTTCATAAAGCTAATTAAAACGTCTTCTTTTACGACGTGTCATAAACGTCAAACAGCCATCAGAAAACGTCAATAGAATCTGAAACGTTTTGTATTTATTTTTTAATAATATCAAAATTACCGTAACAGAGAATGCGAACAGAGTTAAACACAGAAACTGCTTGTACGAAACACGAAAGTCTTGAATCGAGCTCAAATTTTGCCGCGGTGAATAGGCGAGCTAACGTCTCAAACTACGGGGATCTGTACATCGTAGGAAGAATATGGCTGTTGGCGTTAAAGACCGCCCTGCTAGGGTATAGTCTAAACATGATTCCAGTGGTGAATGCCGAGGCGCCGCCGCCGCCGCCGAAGAAACCGCCTCCAATGAAGTATAAAGAGCTGCCGCTTTACAAATCCCCGCACAGCGAATACAAGGAATACATCGAGGAGAAATACAAATGCCCCGACGCCGACGTGAAGCTGATGCGACGTCTCCTGCTCCCCTACGTCACGCTGTGCAGGAAGCAAGTGCAGGAGAGCGCTTGCCGAGTGGCTCGAGCGACGAAGGAGACCTGCCAGGGCATGAGGGCGTCCGTGAACGAGTCGAAGAGGGACTTCAAAGCTTTCATGAGGGACAGCGAGAACGCGACGATTAGAAAAGCGGTCGTTGGACTCGGCGCCGCCGTGGGATACTTGTTGGGCAGTGGGAGGGGCATCCCCAGACGGATCTTTTCGACGGCCGCCGGTGCGGCCGCCGGGGGAGCGCTGTGCTACCCCAAGGAGACGGACGAGGCGTTCAGGAGTTTCACCTACTACAGCGGCAAAACGGCGCTCGGCTTGTTCAACTGGACGTGCGGGAAGGATTTCGGTTGGAGGGAGAGGATACCCTGCAAAGACGATCTGCCGGTGGCCTCGGGCAAAATAGTCCCCCAATGCTCCCCCAAAAAGTGAAACTGTTAACCGCGATAACGTTTTTTAACGATAGCTTAAAAGTAAAAGCTGTGATAAAAATAAAAAAATATACATATGATTGGATGAAGACAAGAAAAAATAACAAAAATCAAAAACTCTATTTAAAATCTATTCGAATGATTTGAGTCAACGTTGGGTAATTACTTTTTTATTTATTTCCTTATTGGATAAAACACTTTATATCGATTTATGTTTTTCTTAGCTCGTTCCCGTAACCGTTTTTTTTTACTAAATTGTTTGAAAATAGAAAATGAGGACGAAACTTATTGTCCTCAATAAAGTAACGATCGGAACTTATTGTCATGCTCCAATTAAATGCAGTTTTAATAAAAAAAGGTAGGTTTTAGATTGTTTTTACTGTTTGAAGAGCAAATTATAGCGGCACCAAAATAAGTAGGTTTGGTAGCTGATGTGTTAGATTAGTTAAAGGCAAAGGTTTATCCTTTTTTTAAACAGCGAACAGTGAAGAAAGCGGCTTTAATTAACTCGCCCGCGCCGCCTTCGCCCACAACATAAGGTACTTGCCAACTTTTGATATACCTATGTTATCTGCTAAGTAACATTAGTATAGCCGCCGAGTTAATTAACAAAACACATACAACTGGAATCTCCACGGGCACTAAGTGTTTAGTATAAAGCGATTCAAATGATAATAGAACTGACCTCGCGCCATCTTGTGACATGACCTTGAGGGTGAAAAAAATGGTGTTTTTAAAATACCGTTTATTTACAAACTTTGTATTTAAAGCTTATAGGATAAAAGTTTTGTCTTACATGCTATTGGATTAAATGGGTTTTAACACTTCAATTTTGCTCATTTCTGTTACACTGTTCGAGTAGTCATCATCGTCATCATCACCATCACTGCTACTTTACACCATAAAAATAGTTTTTTTTTTATGGGAAAAGTTGCCAAACGAGGAGAAGGGTCATCTGATGTTAAGTGAATACCGCCGCCCATGGACATTTGCTACACCCGAGGGTTACAGATGCGTTGACAACCTTTTGAAAATTGGGCTCCGGCTACCTCACCCACCAGACGAAACGCGAAAGTATTTGTCATTCTTCCACTTTACGCTGGTCTTCTGTGAGGTCGTGGTACTTACCCGGACGGGCCTGCCCATTCGTGCAACAGCCGAGGCTGCTGCGTGGCCCTACCACCGTAACCACCACTGCTGTTCGTTAGTCTCGCTAAAAATCGAGAACGGCTGGACCGATTTGGCTAATTTTGAATTTGAAATATTTGTGGCAGTCCAGGGAAGGTTTGAACGATGAGAAATTATGGAAAATTGCATGGGAAAATCGAAATAGCAACAATTTTATTTTCCCATACAAACTGTTCCTACCGCTCAAACATATTAGGGATATATGCGAAAATTCTTTTTTATATGTTCAGATTCACAAATTCCCTTAGAAATAATTTATATGGTAAAACAACGTTTGCTGGGTCAGCTAGTTCCTAATAAAATAACAAAAATGTGTAATGTAAATTATTGCAACACATAATTAATGTTTTAAAGGTTAAAAGTTGTCAAATCCGGGTTTATTTATAAGATACTAAATGATTGCAAATGAAATTAAAACTTATAAAATAACTGTATTTTTCGTTTTGAGTCGTTTTCAACATTAATTGTGATCGATCAATAGACCTATTATAATTTCATTTTTAAAATTAATGCACATTCGTCGTCGCATATGTTTTCCACTCTAGTGGCCTTTATTGAAGCCTCAACAATCGTTAGTACGGCTCGTAGTGCTATTCGAAATGAATAAAGATAAGTATGCTTCCATGGTGTCAACACACGTGTACCATCAATTACCATCGTCAATTCGGGATCAGGTTTGAGCAAGATGGAGCAACGAACTATTCATTTATTGTTATCGGAACAAGGTTTCTCTGGGGAAGACGGTGTATGGTCTAAAGATTGAAAAATTAATGAATGCATTCCAGTCATCGTATCAAAATATAAATTGTAAGCGTTGTATTATTATCCGACGCGTGGTTGCTACTATTTTGATAAGATAACCAAATACATAAGAAATAACTAGGTAGTTAAGTTTGCAGTTCCTCTTTTGTTGGAAAAAAAATGGGTAATTATGTTGATAATTTATAGAGCCATAATATTATTATCTAATATCTAAAATTTTCGTGAAACGGTGTTTGTAATTGAATTCCTCCGAAACGGCTCGACCGTTTTTCGTGAAATTTTGTGTGCATATCGGCCAGGGTGGAGAATCGGAAAACATCTATTTTTCATCCCCCTAAATGTTAAGGGTGGTCCACCCCAAATATTTTTTCTACCCTAAAATAATTTATATGGCAAAACAACGTTTGCCGGGTCAGCTAGTAGCCTATAAAAACACGAGTCATATTTGTTTTTTTAATCCATTACTAGACTTTACTTTTAAAATCTAACATTTTCATAGTATTAACACAAACCTCCAATGTCTTGTTACTGGATCGCTTAGGTCATAATTCTAAGTAAGCCTTGGTGACTAGGCTTTTGCTAAGCATTTAATAATATGTGCTTTGTTGAAGATTAAAAATATACCATACTTTGTATTCATTGCATTCTGCCTTCTACTGCAAATGAGAAATTGCTTTATTATTAAATTAATTTATTTGGCCGTATGTAATTATTTATAGAGTATCTCTATAAATCACATACTGCAAGTATACAAAGGCAACAGGAGGTATACACGTTTAATGCCAGCATCAAATGCCAACCAATAACTACTTACGTTACACGCCCCTCTTCTGTGAGACGAACTCCATTCAATCAGAAGTTTCTTTCATGATAAAAGTACCACCGGGTTACCTCACTGGCCAAACGAAACCTATAATACGTACTTCCAATTACTTTCCGAATCGGCATCCCAGTGTCGATGGCGATCCCCCACAAGACATGTGCAAATGAGAGGAAAGGATGAATGCAGGTGGCTCGAGATCGTGCTTACCGGCTGACTGTGAGGGAGGCCTGTTTCGCAGTTGACTCTAACAGACTGAAATGATGATGACGATGATGACTCGCCGAAGGAGCCCGCCCATTCGTGCAACAGAAGCTCCTGCGGGGCTATACAACCTACGATTGTTCCTCGCCAAGCGTTTATAACTTGACCCGTGTCCTAAGTGTAACGCCTCCCAGCATGATTGCTAGTTTAAATTTGTGGACTTACTGAGCATTCGCCCGTGAACCGCCATCGCAGGGCTTTGAGGCGTTCGGCCTTTGTTCTCGTATTTATTTTGACCAACTCTTACCATTGTTTCCGTTGTCTCTCACTGGCGATAAAGTTTTTTGGACCGTATCTTAACGGCGTCTAACTCTACATTACCTGGGTACGTTTTTAAATATGCACGATACATTACGAAACGATTAATTACGTGTTTCTGTTTTAAAACAATTAGATAAGCTGTCACATGGTTTGGCGCTGATGGAGTGGACAAAATTAAAATATATATTATTTTTGTTTTTTTTATAAATTTTTAGTTAGGAGGCCTTTACAGAACCACCGAACTTGATGTGGCCGGACACTGACGGCGCCTAACCTAAACCTTGTTTATGACTGACTAAGCTTGTGGGCTCCCGATAGTAACTCAGCTAGGGCCGTAACTCTATTACTATTTATATAGGATGTTGTTTGTGTCAAGTTAGTTAAGTCAAGTACTAAGGCCAAATATGATAATTGGAGAATAGTCGTTGTACACCGTGTAAAAATTTCAGGCAGTGATATATGTAGAAGAAAATTAAAATGGTATTGTACGCCATTGGGATAGAATCCTTGACTGGTGCTTCACAAGTCCAACGAAGATTCGTCCATGCCGTTACTGTCTTATTTAATGTGTAGTGTGCCGTGTTGCGTCGGTAAAAAATATTAAAGCTTTCAAGTATATTGGAGACTGATATTTAATATTAATTGAGTTACTGACAAGCCATGATCTGTTAACGTAGGTTTTCTTACCAATACTTATTTTTTAAATTTAATACAACCTCTTGATTATTTCCGAAAATTTCGAAAACCTCATTTCTGTCCGTTACGCCGTTTCGCAATCGCCGACAATGGCAAAGAAAATTCCTCATCCGCCTTTCGTCACTTCGGGTTTATCTAAAATCTATGTAATGTCCATAACGCAGTCGGCTCATAAAACCAACCCGAGACTCCCTCTTAGATAACTTACGTCCATTTACGTTGTACTGGTGTAATAAAAAAACACTGTTATCACCAGATTAAGACGTATGATAGTAAACTGACGTCAGAGTTTCCAACCCGACGGAGCCAAAAGCGGCCATATTGTTTAAGCAATACGGCCATTGCTGCGTGTCGTTTTATATTTTTTTTTTCATCGAAATAGAACCTTCTGTTTTATTACCGTCCAGTTTTATATTGTTGTCTTGCCAGTTCCGTTTTTTTTTAATTTACCGCATACTTTGCGAGTGTTCCGATTTAAAGCGTCCAAGTCGCGACTCTATTTTTAGGTTCATAAGGGCACAGTTTAGTTAACGCAATTCCGCGGCACTTCGCATTATTTATAGTTTTTCACACTTAATACACTTTTTTAATTTACTGCTCCGTTCGTGGCTTCTTGTCACATGATTACAGTTGGTTTTAGATCTTTTAATCCGTCCATTTGTACGGAAAATAAAACAATCGAAGTACTCTAAGCAAATGTTTCGTAAACTTTTTAAATATACGCGAGTACTAAGTATTAAATTACATGAGCACCTTATTAAGATTAAATGTTAAAATTCATCATAACATTTAATTATTTTTTCTAGTGGACGAGGCGAGCATTTAGTAGACTGCATTTTTCACGAAATTTTTTCTGCCGGGTGCGTGCCTTGGTAATATTTTATTTCTTGAAGATTAAAATTTAGTGATTTTATCACCAGGTAACGCCGCTCGTTTGTCACCTTTAAATTAAAAAAAAAAAAACCATCAGCAACGACATCAAACTCGTTGGACATATTTCCCAAGTT